TACATTGAAGTAGAAATGACCTACAGTACAGTAAAAAAAGGGCATTTCTCTTTTCACATTGAAAGGGCTAAAACTCTTCTTTTCATTAGAATTTTAACAAAACTGTCCCTGATCTCTTTAGTTCTCAGACAATAGATGATGGGATTCATGAGAGGAGGGAAGACATTCTGAAATACTGCTGCCATGATGCGCAAATCTTCTGATGTCCCAGGAATCCTGTAGGAAATGTAGACACCTGCTGCAGTGAGGAAGAAGACAGAGATGACCAGCAGGTGTGAAGTGCAGGTGGAGAAAGCTTTGGTTCTCCCTTCAGATGTTGATATCACGAGCACTGACTTAATGATCATCATGTAAGACAGCAGGATCAGTAACAAGGAGATCAAGACCACACTCAATGCTATGGTCAATCCCAGAATGCTGTTGATGACAACATTAGCACAGGCTAATCTGAGAACTGAGGAATGATCACAGAAACAGTGTAGAATTTTGTCAGGTCCACAGAAAGGCAACCTCAGAGCAAGAATCAGAGGAATGATTATTGCAAGAAATCCCCCAACCCAGCACCACATAACATGTCTAATGGCAAGACTGTTCGTCATTAAGTCATGGTAGTGCAGTGGTTTACAGATTGCTAGGTATCTGTCATAAGCCATGACTGTGAGGAGAAAGGATTCAGCAACTCCTAGACCTAGAAAAAAGAACATCTGAGTAAAACAGGCATTAAATGAAATTAAACTGGAATTGAACAAGAAAAGAGCTAACATTTTAGGGAGTGTTATTGTGGTTAGGCAAATGTCCAAAACTGCCAGATTGCATATTAATATATACATGGGAGTGTGAAGGGATTCATCATAGACAAATATAAATATGATTAACAGGTTTCCTAATACAATGATGAGATAGGCAACGAGGAAAACAGAAAACAAGATGGTTTTATTCCCTTGGTCCTGCAGTCCAGGAAAACCGATGATAATAAATTCTGTGACCGATGATACTGTATGGTTAGTGTTAGACATTTCTTCTTTTCAATCAGTAGTTTAGAAAAACAATCTGAGGACCAAAGAACAGTAATAATATTAATGTACATATACTTTAAAACTTTACTGTTTTAAGACTACTTCTTACCTGTCCTTGTGGATGATCTTCACTTCTTGGGAAGTACTAAAGTAGCTAACAATATTTATAATAATCAATGTATGTCAGCATATATTTAACTTTTCCTACTTCTATCCCCTTATTCATTTTCAAGATAAATATTAAATTGTTGTTGTGATATATGAATTCAATTTAATTTATTACAGTTTGTTAGAATGAAAATATGACAACCAATATCACTCCTGAATATGTGAGAGGAAACATTAATGGAAATATGGATAACTACAGTACATTATGACTTGTCTAAAAAGCAACGGTTTTAACTAAAGAAGTATCTATGAAACTACAATATATATATACAACAGATAGAGATACAGTATAACATATACAAATATAAGAGCTGATTAATATTCATGCCCATATTATCTTTCATATTGTTAACATTTGCTCTGTATTGTTTTGGCGGTGGATTTTGATAAGAATAGAGGGAATGATCATGGTCATTTACTCTGCTGTCACTGATACTATACCCCGTAAAAAAACCTTTCTGTTTTTTCTACTGCATCTTACCTTGTCATGGGTTTCACAGGGTCAGGATAAGAAGCAGGATTAAAAGTAACAGCAAGGTGTTTTTATTGTGCTATCTGGTCCTATGGGACAGGCAAATGCACAACCATGGCCTTGTTATAAGTTAATTGCAGCGCATGAGGATTGCTGGCAGCTGCTAGAATCCAACATTCCTAAAATGAGAACTTGCTCAAGACAGTTAAAAGAAGGAACTGATATCACAGTGGCATTGGTAAATTAAAAGAGTGATCACATATGACTGGGATCAGCATTACTAGCAATTAACAATTTAAGCTTTATTTGAAAAACAAAAACAAGACTGCCAGTAGTTGGTGTTATGAAAGTCTGAGACTATATACCTTTAAACAGAACTCATATACCAAGTCTAAATTCCACAAAAGGC